GGGAGAGCACACATAATTCTGGGGGCCCTATAACTTCTAAGAATACAACTAGGGCCGTTTCTCCAGTGCAATACGAAAACCTATGAAATCATTTCACGAAGTAAAGTTTGTTTAACAGGCACTTTGTAACAAAATTAGTCTTAACCTACTGCATCACACCCCATCTGAATCTTTTAAAAGTCAGGGGGCCTGACGTACAGACCCAGGTCTGCAATACTACGAACTATGAAGTATTCCTTACCTGGGTGGTAGACAGTTCTCTAGCTGAGGAATCAATTCTGGGGGCAAAGTTGTTGGGAAGTTCACTAGGAACTGAATGATGAGACGTCCCTTCTCAAAGGGGTTCTTGTACTGAGGCATGCCCTCATTAATAATACACTTTACATCACCATGTTTGGTCACTTCACCTGCAACAAAGTGTAAATAACTTTTCTTCAGACAGTTAACATGTGTATCATCATCATCATCAACACAGCAAATATCAGAAAGAATCGTACCACATTCTTGTATGACATCCTACATCGCTGCAGAAAGACGGTTCATATGTTACAGTTCTTTGTGTTTCATTGTTAATTTCACGTTCAAAAGGATAAATGTTGTTTTATTATGCCATATAAGTTAAAAGTTATCACTTTATTGCATACAACATCCGTCATGAATGCTCTATCCGTAGATTTGTCTCAAAGAGTGGATACATTTCAGACAAGGAACATAGCAAACGTAGCAACTCTGTACTCTTTACCCACGAGAGTTGGGGGGCACAGCCCTTCCATAGCTTTGAAGCATGCGATTTGATGACGGCAAGTATATAAGCATTTAACTTGTATCATTCTTAAGTTATGTGACCTCAAACAGCTCACAGCCATTCAACAAATTCCCTCTTGTATCAGCTATGTGATGTGCAGCCACAATTAAACGACACTGGACCGTCTCGAGAACCAGTAATTGGCCTGGCATTATGAGGATGAGAAGCTGTTGGCCTTCACAAAGGTGGTGGGCCTCGCTGCTCTTATCTGCTTCAGGAAACACCACCAACCTCAAACCATTACGCTGATAAACTGACAAAGTTGTCATGTGCTGTCCACTGGCAAGAGGGCATGACCTTGTGACAAGCGCCACTGTTACAAACTACAATAAAATGTTAAGAGGCCACAGCCTTGTTATCCAAGGCCAATCTGGTTGATGCCCTCTCCTGTGAGGTGCTCAACCCAACACAACAGCAAATTGGCAATATAAGGTAACAGCCCCAGGAGCTGTCAGTCAGATCTCTAAGATGGAGGGATCAAGAAACACTGCATAAAGACAGGACCAGACCTCTAAACGGAAGTCACAGTGCTACTGCATCACCTTTAGGACTGTCATCAATCACAGATGAACATTTTCTTCCAGCTCATCATACATCCCTGCAACAAGGTTTATATTTTACAATTCTTCAGGTTTGTTTATCCAGGCACAACACTCGACACAGGCGATTCCATGAAGAATTGCTGATGGCACGCACGGCAGTAACCTTTGGACCGTGATACTGGTGCTCCAACACCTTTATTAGCAGCTCAGTGCCCCATATCCAGAGTGTGTTCACACCAAATTATCCTCCTCCGCATGGAATGGCATTTTGCCGTATACTTTTGTCATTCAGCACCTACAGCAATGCACTTCATTCATTCAGTCACTTACATAAAAATTCTGACAGTTGTGTTAGGCAACTGTAATTAATTACTGGCATTTCTCAAGTCTGGGCTAGGAATGAATCCTGCTCAAATCGCCTGTAATATATTCGTCCGCTGTGTGGTTTGGTTTGGAATTCTGTTTCATGAAACCAAATCACAGAGCACGCAGACCCGAAGAAGGCGCCATCTCAGCCTGCGCTGCCACCTGGCAACTAAGACACTAATTCACCATTAGACTTGAAGTGTTTCCTCAAACTACATATTATTTAATTTTATTATGACTCTCTGTATTTTCGCGGTATCTGATCAAAGTTGTCGAATAGGTTTTGGTCCAACCTACATTGCAACAGACAGGAACAAATCTGAACTTACATCTTGCTCAAAACACTTCTCCAAAGGATATACTTCACCTGATCAACAACCTAAAATACAAACTGACTAAAGAGATACCACATTTACTAGTGTATAACATACACCCTTGTCTTGAACTTAAAAGTTAAAAAATCAAGCATTTGTGTACAACATGCTTCAAAACAAACCAAATATAGGCAGGTTAAAAAAGATTTTAAAAATATTATGTAGAATGAGATGTCTCGAGTTCAGGCGGACAGAGTTGGCATTCGCTGTTGCAGGCTGTATTTTGTAATGAAACTGACCTGCTCACTCATTCTAAGTCAATGAGATGGTGTGATTGTAGGACTAGAGGTTCTCACGTTGATAAGTACAAAGAT